CGGCCTGCGTGCGGCCGGGGCTCGGTCGCCTCCCAGCCGGGCCGGGCAGCGCGTTTGATGCGGCCCCCGCCCCCCGCGGCGTGCAGGACTTAGGCGAGCCGCCCTTTGTCTCGGCCGGGAGCATGTGGGTGAACCCCGAGGAGGTGCTGCTGGCCAACGCGCTGTGGATCACGGAGCGCGCCAACCCGTACTTCATCCTGCAGCGGAGGAAGGGGCACGGCGGCGATGGAGGCGGTGGCGGGCTGGCGGGTAAGGAAGGGCCTGGCACGGGCAGGCAGCTCGGCTCCCCATCCTGCCCCAGCTCGGGCTCTGGGCCCGGCACGGCTGATCCCTGCTGCTGGCAGGGCCCGTGGGGCATCGCGTCTGCCCTCCCCCGGGGCATCAGCCGCTGCCCTGCTCCTGGCGGCAGCCGTGGACCTAGGGCCGGGGCGCCTCTGCCTTCCCGGCGCTGGTCGGGGAGCGGGGAAGGGCTCTTGTTTGTCGGGCTGGGAGCTGGGGCAGCCGGGGGGCAGGTGCTGGGGCGCTCTGCCAAGGGAGCCCGAGCAAGGCTCCATCCTGCTGAGGCGTCTTCCTGCCATCTTTGCTGCTGTCAGTCCTTGCTGGCATGGCAAGAACGGCAGAGGCTTCCTTCAGCTCCACCATAGCAGTGCCCCGGGGCTCCCACAGCTAGAGCGGTTTGTGCCAGTTCCTTTCTTCCCCTGCCTCGACTAGCTGGTTTGAAAAAATGATCATAATCGCAGATAAATCCCAGGGGTCAGTGATAAGGCCGCGGCTTTGGTTTGGACCCTGTTTTGTTCTTCGGGTGCTCTCCATCCAGCCCGTGTGTGTTCTTGCAAGGGCTGCTGCCTTTTCCTTCCTAGGGTATTTGGACCTGGCTTGGTCCCTGTTTGGCTTGTATTAATAAGTAGCAATTCTCTGAAGCGCTGGGAGATTTATATGCCAGGGATTATTTTATTTACCAATAGTATTCATGTAAACTTTGTAGAGTGTGTGTGTGTGTGTGTGTGTACACATATGTGTGTATATGTGCACGTGTGTGTATACCCCCCCCCCCGTGTGCATGTGTGTGCAGCAGACAAGTTTCTTTGGGTAAACATGATATCTTTTATTAGACCAAGTAGTTGGGAAAATTGTTCTTTGCAAGCTTTTGGGCACAAACACCATTGTTCAGGAATAGGGAGAGAGAAAGAGAGTGTGTGTGTGTGTGTGTGTGTGTGTGTGTGTGTATTCAGCAAGCCCTACCCATTACTTATCTGTAGATGTAGACTGAGTGGATCTCCTTGACAAATACTAGATTGACTCTCATAGAAGATGACCCTGATTATAAGACCCTGCTCCCCCCCCCCCCCCCCCCCCCCCCCCCCCTAAAATTAGGTTTTATATATGGGAAAATTACAAATTTGTTACAGTTTTCCAGGTGCAGAATCTAATTACTGGAGGCTTGCCTTAAATGTGTCCCTTTCCCACTGCTACAGCAAGGAAAATAAATCTAGGGGGTTAGGCATCTCCCTTGCCCTCTGACCCCCACCCCCCAACTGGTTTTACTTGCAGCCCCTTTCTCTCCTCCTTCCTTACGGTCAGACCTGGCTCTCCCTGAGCACGTGGAAGCAAGAAGCAAATTTAAAAACACTGACCTTGAAATCAATATACTTGTAGTAATTTGCATATAGTACCAATAGGTTTAGTTCATGCAGAATTGATGCATTTTCTCTTTTTTTTTAAACTGCTGCAAGTTGTAGCACAGGTATTCTATAAACATACTTTTAAGTAGCATTTTGGCACCTACTTATTTAGAGTACAAACTATGCATGATACTATTCCAAAACCAAAAGGCTCATGATTTACCATATAGCTCATTGGTCTGACCTGGGCTCATTGGCCTGTGCCTTGAAAGGCTGTTAAAAAGAGTCAACAGCCTCTGAAGCCATGGTGACCCCATAGTTTTGTGTGTGTGTGTGTGTGTGTGTGTGTACACTCCAGATTAACTCCCCTACACACACACACACTGTTCCCCCCCGCCAGTTAGCCACCAAATATTTAAGGCTGGTGAAGAAATGGGAGTCATTGGAAATGGGAAAGAAAAGCACAGCTCAGCTGTGGGAATGAAGAGGAGGACATGGAAATATATTCAATTTAGTGACTGACCATGACTTGGAAAAAGAGTGATTGGTGAGGGAGACTGCACTCAATGAGCACTACTATATAACTTATTCAGATGGGTAGCACTAACCTGTCCTTGTAGTAGGGTCCTATCTGCATGTCTGCCCAATATGGCCCATGTGTTTTGTAGTCCTGCTCAGTGTTAGCTGCATGTAATCAGCTTCATAGTTGGCTTTCATTACAGAGCACATACTGCTTTTAGCAGCAGTTCAGAGACAGACAATGAGGTTCCCTTGTATGCAAATGTTAGATGAGGGGAAGTTTGCATGCATATTTGGTGGTAGTAGCTTGGTGCTAGCTGCTAGATAATTCTGTAGACTATGAAAATTGTTACTATTTGAAAATAACTTGTAGTCTAATAAAGCATTTTTTCAAGTATACAGCCACCCTCTGTGTATAGCCGGGACTTCTTTTTCACCCATCAGTATTGTATATTTATTAATCTACTTATTTCCTCCCTAGAAAGTAACTGAAATACTGCTTCTATTTGGTCATGGTAACCTTCCAGCAGTTGCTCCATATTGGCTGCTAGCCTACCCACTAATGAAAATTACAGACAAGAGTGACAGTTCTATTTTAAATCCCTTTTTCCCCTCAGCAGTCGGTTTCCAAAGCATTTAATGAAGAACTCTTTGCATGCTCTACTTGGGCATTACACAATTGGTTATGATTCCTTCCACTATCCTACTAGAATGATTAAGGGATTGGGAAATATATCTATCATGAAATACTTGAGAAGCTGAATCACTTTAGCTTAACAAATGAAAGGTTAACGGGTGACTTGATCACACACTCTTAAGGCTAGGGACAGAAATGCACATAAACCAGTATAAGTGATTGGAAACCAGTTCAAATCTGTAACACAACAGAAGTTCAGTGCACATAAACTGCTTTCAAAATGGCCAAAACCTGTTTAAGATGATCCCGGATGGATGTAGTATCAGTTGTAACCTATTTAGGTTAAATTGGTTTATTGAACTTCTGTCCCAGATCCCCTCCAGATTCAAGTTAACTCACGGTGCCCCAGCATCCCAGGATACTTTGCACTCCCTGTCCCCAAACTCTGCTTTGCAGGGTGGGTAGGCTAGCCTTGGTTGAAGTGGTCTGCTCCATCCAGGCAGAGAAGTGTGCTTTTGTGCCCCCCAGCTTCTGGCGTGGGCCACTGCAGACGTGGCTGCATTTCCAAAATCAAAAGCACATGCCTGTTTGCTTGCTTATTGGTTCAGTCTAGGTAGCTTAGACTAATTTGCAAAGATTGAATTGAGCCAGCCTTAGGCTTTTAAACTGTCTTTACTTAGTCTAAGTGATCATAGGGAAGTGAAATTTGGTAATAGAAAGGATCTTCAGTCTAATAGACAACAAGATAGAAAGATCTAGGGCTAGAAGCTGATGCTGGACAGGTTTGGACTACAAATAAGGCACCATTTTTAGCCTTTGGAACGCTTTATCAAGGGTTGTAATGGATTCCTACATTAGTGGAAATCTTAAAATCAAGGCTGGAGTTTTTTTCTGTCTCATTCTAAAAGGCATTCATCCAGGGGAGCATTCTAGTCTGTGTTATACAGGGGTTATGGCAAAGGTAGTGAGCTATGTAACTAGTAAGGACCCTGGTTTTCTCTGCTAAAAAAAATCATACATTCTCTGATTTAAAACCCCCTAAAATCTGTGCTTTTCCATGATTAAAATAAAATTCCCTATAGAGAGATGGATCGATATCTCTCTATCCATTGAACACAATGTTTTATTAACATATTTACAATTTTAAAGCAATTTAGAAGCCTATCGGTGGCTCAGTCACTATAATAAATACATTCTAAATACCTATACCTTTTGGGGTTTGATTTTTGGGTTTTTTATCATGGCAAATCAGAGCTCTCGCTGCCCCTTTCACTCACCAGGATGTGGGTCCAGCTGAAGCTATCCCTGTCCGTCTGTCGTCGTTGTCCCCCCCCCATGCTTTCTGGCACTGAGCAGCTGTGATATGCTGGTTCTTTGCCCATGCCAGTGCCCCTCACTCCCCACCCCCAGCCCTGCCAGAGGGGCCCCCCAGCTGCCAAGGCTCCAGGGCCAGGGACCAGGGGCTGCAGCCCCCAGCCTCCCACAGGAGCACCTGAGCCCCTGCTGCCGCATGTGGGAGACGGCGGTTTCTGTGGCAGAGCACAGAGCCTGGCTCCCCCTCCCCCTCCCCCATGGCCAGCACATCCAGAGTGAAGCCCACGGTGGGGGGGGAGGCAGATGCGGGCTTGGGGGTCCCCACCTTGCTGCCCTTCCCCCAGGGCCTCCATAGCCCAGCAGGCAAGACCCAGCGTGGCTGGGCAGAGCAGAGCCAGGTGGGGTATCTCGCTGTTGCTGCCTGGAGCCCCATGTGGCCATGGCAAGGCACCCCCTGCCTGCCCGACAGCAGTGGAGGGCACAACCCCGCCTTGCTGCTGCCAGGCTGGTAGGGGCCACCTTGCCATGACAGCGTGGCACTTACGGCAGCAGCACCAAGCTTCCCAGCCCCACTCTGCCCTGCCGCACTGTGTCCTGTCCACTGGGCTACATAGCCCTCAGGGGTTGGGCAGAGGGTGAGGAGTCCCGAGTTCACCATGTACACAAATCAGGGGGGCACATGCCCCGTGATGCCCCTCCTCCCTGGAGTGCATGAAGTGGGGCAGCCCCCCTGCCACTCCCCAGGCAAGCCACCTGTGGCCCCATCCCACTCCCTGCTTGGGTCCTGCAGCTGCATATGGCCCCAAGCCCCATGCACCGCTCAGGCTGGGCAGCACCCCCAGCCCTGCCCAAGTCCTTCTCTCACACGGGGGGCCTTAATTTCCCTTCCCCCGCCAGACTTACCTGCAAGGTGCTGCTCTCTAGGCTGCCTGATGGCCATGTGCGTGCATATGTGCACATGGCGCCCTCTGCCTGACCACCCTCCTCCTGCTCCTCCATTGTAGGCTGGAACTCTACCATCCTGCAAGGGGAAACCCACTGTTTCCTGTGCTTTTTTCCCTTAAAGGAGAAAATCCAGGTTTTTCTCCTTAAAATGAGAAAATCTGGGTTTTACTGGATTGCTCCATGACAAACAGAAAATCCAGATCCCTGATAAT